TCATAGAACCAGCATGGTGGCGATCACCTTATTCCCAGGGGTTATTTTCATTCATGTATTCCTTGATATTATAATAACCCTTTTTGTACAGTTTCTCTTTAATAAAACTTTTAAACTTGTTTATTGACAAACTTTGAACATGTATACATTACCCCATAAATGAATTACTAATTCTGTGGAGTCTAGTAACTGGCATTAGAAGCTTATGTTTGTTCCTAGTGTTTAGGGTATGAACATCCTTATTCTTATTAAAGCTATTTATGTTTTTATGTACATACATCACATTGTCATAAATATATTGCGATGCTAAAGTTAATATGTTTATTTCTTAAAATTTTTGTCTAAGGGACTCTTTACAATTCGCCCAAACGACTCTCTTTTGCAAAACAAATATAGCTTCAATATCAGTCGCATTACCCCATAGCAAAATTCCATAAGACATTACGCTATGAAAGTAACTAAAATACACTAACCTAGCTGTCTCAACATCTGTGAGACTTCTAATCTTTCTTATAGCATATGCTGCAAAAGTAAGTCTGCTTGCTAATTTAGATATATGGGGTCCCCATTCAAGTTTCGCGTCCATAGTAATACCAAGGAAAACTGGTATCCACAAGACTCAACTCCTCCCCATTTAAGAGCACATTGGTTTTCGAATCTTTTACATTAGGTATTGTAAATTTAATAAATTTTGTCTTATTGCCGTTTAAGAGCAAATTGTTGGCGTTAAACCAATGTACTAATTTCGATAGAGCATTATTTACATCGTCATAATTAATTGACTGCCGTTTAGTTTGAAAATTAAAGAGGTATCGTCAGCAAATAATACTATATCGTGATTGTCCCCTACAAGATAAGGTAAGTCATTAATATAGATTAAGAACAGGAATGGGCCAAGAATCGAGCCCTGAGGAACGCCCATTGATACTACCGACCCGGAGGAACCTTTACCATTGATCATGACTTTTTGAATTCTGTTACTTAAATATGAAGTAATAAGTCTAAGCGCCAAATTTTAACACCGTAATGTTGTAGTTTCCTGATTAATGTCTTATGATGAACACAATCGAAAGCCTTGGAAAGATCACAGTAAATATCTAAAGTATCTTGTGAATTCTCCCAGGCATTAAAAATATATTTCATAAGCTCTACACCGGCGTCAGACGTCGAGCGACTCCTTGTAAAACCAAATTGGTTTTTATGAAGTAATTTATTTGTATTAAAAAAAAGAAAACAATTGATCCAAAATTATTTTTTCAATAATTTTACTGAGAGTTGGTAGTACAGAAATAGGTCTATAATTAGCGGGGTCCAACGTACTACCAGATTTAAAAAAGGTTTTATTTTACTATACTTCATTAAATCAGGTAACACACCAGAATCGATACAAGTATTAAAAATAATAGCAAGATGAGGTGCAATTAAATCTATTATGGACGCAATCACTGTAACGGAAATCCCCCACAAATCTGCCGTTTTCTTCACATCAATGGTTTTAAAATATTTTAAAATATTATGCGGTAATACATTTTCAAATCTAAATTCTTTTAAACAGGTATTAACATTCTGTTTAAGTAATGACTCGGCGACAGTTGGAGAAGTATTCAATGACTCTGTTATCAAGATAGGAACATCAGTGAAATATTTCTCAAACACCGCTGCAACTTCTTGATTTGATTTAGTCAATTCATTATTAATTTTTAATTGATAGTTTGAGTTACGAGGTTTCTCTTTACCGGTTTCGCTGTTAATTATACTCCACATCATTTTAATTTTATTCTAGATGCCATTCTTGCTACAACTATACTACTAATATAGCTGCTGCATGGCTCTTAAGATATTTTTTTTTCAAACTACTTATTCTAAATATTTTATTTTATAATTTTTGTTCTTCAACAATTTCTTGTGCCTTTTAATTAAATAGTAAATTATGATTCTAATGTAAAGAGTTTTAATAATCTATTGGAAAGCATACGCATGGCATAAAAATTTAGTTTGGAAAATCTAAAAGTGCACCTTTTAGGTTTTCCAAATTAAGTTTATGAGCCTGATGAGCGTTCCATTTGATTTTGATAAAAAAATAAAAATAGTGACGATAATTGTTACAAGAAAAAATAAATCTGATCGACTTTCATTAATAACTTTTAAACGGTATTAAGTTCAATAACAAAAACAATAGGGATCCTCCTTAGAATATATGGAATCTTATTTAATCCATATATCTCGAACTATTGCTTAATTTCATTATCATGTATTAAGGAGACGTAAATTTCCTTTAATTCAAGCCATTTATAATAGCTGCCATCAAAATAGACAATTGTAATTTGTGGTAAGCGAAACCGTGGTTGAATCTTAAGATTAGTCTGGCCTGAGTCTGAAGAAAATGTCTATCCTTTTTAAACGATAATAATAAAATCTTAGCCGATGTCATAGGCGTGTAAAAGCTACGTTCCATTTCTTCCCTTACTTCAAAGTGGGAGGTTTCACGAACCTCAATCTCCGTCTGCAAGTCATTAAAATATTCAAATAAACCATCAAATTTCTCTAAACGTACAGAGAACTCAGTAATTTGACTTTGTGTAGGATTCTTAATTTCAATTAAATCATTTACAAAATTTGTAAATAACTTTACTCTTTGCTCAACGTTAGCCCGTTTAGTCATGAGCTCATCCATATTTTGACCCTTTTTACGCATTGTGAAGAGAAGTGAAGAAAACAAATTAAAATCATGATAGGTAAATGCTCAATCCGTAATATTATTTGAATATTAGTAAGTTAGTATGAAAAGTTGAAATTCATAAGAATTTGTTACGATGACTTGCAAATGAAAGGCATAAAATAAACGTAACTTGCGACTTAAGCGGGGTGCAGTAGCGGTCCACGGTCGGAGGATGTGAAGAGAAGAGAAGTGCAGCAGCAGGAGACAGTTCCCTGCAGCAACAGGTGAGTAGTAGTAGTAGATTAAGAAGTTATTAGGCTTAGTTTTAAGAGCCTTAGTATGGAAAATGTATTTGGGAGCCTAAAATTCAAATTGATATATAAAATAAAATATTATCTTATGAAATATTAGTATGAATTAACCAAATTTTATGGTGATTTACAATCCTTTGCAAGGTACGCCACGTGTGCGTAAAGAAAGGCTAGGTAGATTTAGTTTTAGCGTATTAATTGTAGTAAGTAAAATTAATTGGCCTTGAACAATTTTGCTGTAATTTTCCGATGAAACTTTTATTTATGCAATGAACAGCCTTAGATGAATAAGACTTGAAAATTAGGTTCACTGCGATATATAAAGAAATGGCCGGCCGGCAATCTATAGTCAAGTTGTGAGAAGGATGCACAGGGTAAGTAGCTTATAAAAGTGTTATAGGAGTGGTCACTTCTCTGATTTTGTTGCTGTGCAGCTGGCTCTCGTTGCAGGTTCTCTCGGCAATTACAATTTGTGTTGGCTTGTCCAAAGCTTACTTATTCATTGGATAATCACGTCGCGAGTCACCAATGGTCACGCGCAGAACGCGTGGTAGTTAGGATGCAGTTTTTAAATAAAAATCTTCGTCTTTATAATATATAAATTATAATTTATAATATATAAATTATAATATCACACTTTGGATAATCAAATTAAATGCAGTGATACAATTCAACAGAAAACACCATACTTTTTAACATTCACAGAAAAAACATTCTTTTGTATCTCAATACTCGTGAAATTGTCTTTTTTATTCTTTACAATTATTTAAAAAAACTTAAAACAAAACATAAAAACTCCACGAACAATGTGTCTTAGCTAGTTTGAAGAGCACCTCCCGCCCATCCTCAATTGAGTGCATTATATATATAGTAATCGCATGAATCTACTTTTATTATCGTCAACATTACGATCTAAGATGAGTTTAGAAGAGAATGGAGGGTGTTGTACTGAATTGGAGCCTACTGATGATATGCTGAATTTTAATTCTACAATTTATGATAAAAAGAGCCTAATACTATAAAAGATGAAGAAGAAAACGTAGAGGAAACTATTTACATCTTTACATTTTTAATTAATAGAAATCTTTGTATACTTTGTTAATTATTTTTGTAAAAAAATTATAATGTTATAGTTTACCGTACTTTATTTATTGCAATATATTTATCGTTTATATTTGCTAATAAGCTACAAAAAAAAAAACGATAAATAAAAAGTATTTGAATTCAAATACATTCGGTGCTTTTTTAATTTTTTGCGCTTTTTCCGCAAGGTCGCGCGGTATCCTTCAGAACATTTCTGGCAACTCTGGCTAGCAAGCTAGTAGTGAGAACCATAGATAAATAAATATGTAGTAAGCTAGTGAGAACTAGCTTGCTACATATTTATTTATCTATGGTGGGAATCAAGTGATTATATATTCTCTTAAGTAATAAGAAGTCTATGAAAAAGAATAGTCTGTACTGTGCTGTGAGTTTTTGGCGGGAACCTGACCGGCGGCGGGTTGTTGCTCCTGTATTATTGTTTAAATAATGGTTTGAAGTGGAATTTGATATGTAAAAGTGGTGCGGTTTTGTGTATTACGTGTCTGCGCATGTGAATTATTAGTGGGAACGGTGAAACAAGTGCTCTAATGGTGATGTGATTATCAAGATAAGGTGTCTGTCTGCTGAGGCACCTTGAGATTCCATCGTTAACTGTCAGCTGTCTGCTGGCTCAAGTTGCCGTCAAAATCTCCCAAGATAATTATACATTGTAACTTCAGGCTCAGAAGGGCAAGAACCCAGAGCCATAAAGCTTGTTATATAAAAATGTACTTTGCTGTAGCTGTAGTTACTAAATTTTATCAGTTAGCATCAGTTAGTCTGTGGTGAGCAACTCTTCTTGAAGCTTGCTAATAGTATGTGAAATTTATTATATTTAAATTTGAGACCACCTACATTCAGAATTTTGAATGATTGTGAACTTTCCGTGATCAATGTGCTAGATTTCGGCAAATATTAATAAGAAGTATACGTATTTCACTTTCAGTATGGAAGGAAATATGCTAGAAGAAAATGATGCAGTTCGCGTTGCCATCAAGGACGATAATCCAGTCCTTGAAAATTCAGCTTTGGAACAAGATAAGAAAAATTTATTTTGGATGGGGAGCGTAATGGATTGCTTTTCAACGGTATTGTCTTTATTTGGTCGCAATGATCTTAAAAGTGGAAAAGGTAAGGACATAATACACAGTTTTACTTGTGTTTGTTGTTCAATATTTTCAAGGCCGAGTGTCGTGTTATTGAATGCACCCCCGGGCATATTCAAGGTCGATGCGCTACGCAGGTTTGCAAGGACGCAGGTTTGCAAGGACGCAGGTTGATTGATTTTTAATTATAATTATTACCCTGAGTATAATATGTATAAGGTAAACATGTGCCTTATGCTCCTGAATGCAGTTTTTATGAACGTATAGAAAGTCGCGTTTTGTACGAATTTGATTCCTCTTATAATCACAATACATTTCAAATACATTTTCATTCTTTTTTCAGTTTCCACTAAGAAAATAAATTTGTGGCTTGTTTTATTATTTAACTTCCTGACTACAGAAAGGTAGATTTATGGAATTTCTTTCTAATTTTTTTTACTAATTGCTACTTAAGTCCAAGAATACATGGAGAAAAAAATTTTATTGAGAAAAATTCGATTTTCACTATGTTCTTTGTATAGGACAAATGCAGCAAATAGCGTAAGACAAATATACATAGAACATAAAAGAATATTAATTTATTTATGTACATTATTCAATTAAAACTTATTTAATTTTCAAGGGAAAAACAAAAAAAATAATTACTATAATAGCAGTCTCATCTATTTCTAAAAAAATTTGTATCAAAATTAATAGATATCAACTATGTTCAAGCTAGAGTTAACATTTTCAGTCGGTAATAAAGTGTAATCAAAAATAAATTCTTACAAACCCCTTACTATGAGATTCAATAAAGATCAACGTTAGTACAAAACTATCTTAATTCTCTTACAAATCTAAATTTGGTACCAAAATCAACAGACAACAACTTTATTCAACCTAGAATTGACATTTTTAGTCAGAAGTAAATTCTAAACAAAGATAAATTTTAAAAACTGAGATTCAATAGAGATCAGTGTTTATCTATATAGTTATCATTCTTAAAAATTCTTAGAAACCAATACAAATTCTTAGAAACATTAGTAAATAAAATTAGTAATCATAAGCAAATCTAGTCATCTAATCAGTCTCATGAAAATGGTAAAACAGTTCCTGTTTGATATGAAGTAGAGATGTTACGGAGGTTCGATTCCGAATCCGAAAGTTCGGAACTTCAGATTCATTTTGCACTTACAATTCCGATTTCGGTTCCGTTAAATTTTAATTGTGGGTTATATATCGGAGGTCGATGCACAGCGAAGGTGGCGGCCGCGTTCAGTTTTTTTTTGCGCCCAGAAGCAATTGAAAAGCAAGGAAGGGAGGTGGTGAATGCTCTAAGCATACCACAACAGCTGGCTGTCGTGGTTATGTGGGACTCACTGCGACTAACCTAACCTAAGTGCCTACCCACTAAACACCACCTGTGAAACTGGCATTGACTTTTGAGGCCTTTCTGCTGAATCGGAAGCGACCCTCTTTAGGGAAAAGGGGGCGCAGGCGGCGACGAGCAGCTGAGGGGGTGCCTAACTAAGGCAAATTAAGAAGAGTCGACCTGAGCCGTCAGGAGGCAGTTCAGGTCGGCCGAAAGCTTCCTTGGCGGGTCCAAGAGAGAGTTTCTCCGCCTGCGGACTCTATAGCGAGAGCTTTTTTTAACAGGCGACTTGTTTTCCAGAAATTTATTTACAACTTGAGTTTGTGAGCGATCACTATTTTTCCACAACATGATTTAAAACCCACAAAGTAAAAAGAGTACCATGTACAAGTTAAAAAAAAGGTTGTCAACACATAAAAGTTTCATATTTTCATAATATCCAGAAACGAAGCTGTAGGCATTAATTACTTACAAAATAATGAATATTTTGTTCTGGATAAATCTTCCAAAAAGCTATTTGAGCGAGTTATAACGATTTTTAAAAAGACATGACTCGCGTGTCATACGCCACACAAAAATAATAGATGGCACGCCTGGCATGTCTTGAACCGGTTAAGGCATTCTCTCCCAGTCTCAACCATTAGGCTAAACAGAGATAAACATAAGGGAGGTAGTGCAGCAAAAAAAATAAACATGCGCTAGTGTCGTGGAACACTCGGTTGAACAAAGTTCCTTTCATAGTATATTATTATTGATAAACATATTATGTTATTGATTAATAGACACAAATAAATGAATTACTGGCGTCTAATAAAATGAGCGTCATTTATAATAATATTTCTTTCATGGCAAGATAAGAAAAAGTGCTACTATGAATAATGCCATATAGAACGGGGGTCGTGACGGAAAACCTTAGACTTTTTCTCGCCGTCATCCATCAAATGCGTGCAGTGCGTTAAGGAACTTCATTTCAATAATAAACCAGAATATATATATATATATATATATATATATATATATATATATATATATATATATATATATATATATATATATATATATATATATATATATATATATATACATATATATATTTCTGTGTCGATTAGTATGTATTTCGTGACGATCTGAGCACTTTTTTGGCGCTTAAGCACTGCAAAACTATGGTATTTATCACAATTTTCATGTTTTGACAAATACTTACGCATTACAAGTTATGATTAATTTTTAGTCATTGTCAGTTTAGTATTTTTCTTTACTGACAACAGACATTTCAATTTTGTTCAGCAACTCAAAATACTGTAGTTTGAGTCATTGATGTCACTTTAGTACTTTTTGACGGCCATAAATACTAGCATATATGTAGATAAGTAAATTTGCTTTATGTAGAAATTGATGAGCATGGCGCGTTAGTATATTTTGTCTTCGCAATTTTCTTAGAGAGAACGGTTTTTTGTAACTTCGCTTTACGCTAAGTATTTGAGTGTCTGTTTAGAATGTTTTACATTTAATGAAATCGATTAATTATTTTATTAAGTATGGACTATTTTACTCGACAAAATATTAATAGTTAGTTTAGCATTTAGATGTGTGAAAAACGTACAAAAATGTTCAGTTACGTCTTTTGAAATTAAATTTTGTTTTGATTATGATTCGTTAAGTATGTACAATTTAAACGTAAATTTAAGCTAACAAAGTGTGCATCATAGTCACACGAAACACGTGTCGTATTTTCGAGAGTGGTGTGTCGTGCCTAGTGTGGTGGTGCTGGGGGTGGTAGTGCTGGGATCGACAGCGACGGGTATAGTGCGCTCGATTGGGGGAGGGTGGGAGTGAGGTCCCCTTAGAACTGGACAGGACACATTTTCTTTCTTTACGCGGAATTAAGCAAGTTAGTGTATAACAACCCCATTATATTGGATTTCCGCAAAGTAACACCTGATTCTATTAATTTTTTTTTAATATTCTACTAAGCCAGCGCTTATCTACGATCCCACCTGATGGTAAGTGGTGATGTAGCCTAAGATAGTGTAGCGCACTGACTTAACAAAAACCTATTCACTCTTGCCTTGAAGACACCCACACTGTAATCGGATGGAAAGACAGATGCTGTTAACTTATTCCACTCCTTTGCTGTACCCATGATGAACGACGTGGTGAACCGTTTGGTTCGAATGCGTGGTAAGTCAACAACGAAAGGGTGGAGACTGGCCGAACGTCTGATTGTCCGATGGTGGAAGGGAGAGGGAGGAATTAAATTATGTAATTCCTGCGCACACTCTCCGAAATGCATCCTGTAGAAAACCGAAAGGCTGGCTACTTACGTCTGTGTTCGAGGCTGGTAAGATTGGTTTTAACCAAATTCGGGTCACCAATAAGCCTCTTAGCATGCCTTTCCATTTAGTCCAAAGCTGCTAGGTGGCATTTTGCAGCACCAGCCCATATATGGCAGCAATACTCCATGCACGACCGGACTTGCGCTTTATATAAAGTAAGCAGCTGTTCTGGCGTGAAGTATCGCCGCACCTTTGCAAGGTCTCCTAGCTTCCTTGCAGCTGCTTTGGCGTTGGACTCAATGAACCGCCCGAAGTTCAAATTTGAGGATATTTAAAGACCTAACAACTGATGGTGGTCGGTATATTTCAGTGATACGTTTCGGAAAGAAGGAGCCAAGATGAGCTGGCTCCTTTTTGTAGTGAAGAGACACGCTTGTGTTTTGGAGGCGTTGAACTTCACAAGATTGGCATCGCGCCATTCGGTGACTGCCTGTAGTGTGAGATTCACACGCTCTACCATAGCTTCTCTTTCGGACTGGATTTGATCCCGACTGGCCCGAGGACTTGGTTGGTATCTCTCAACAACTGTGCTATCGTCTGCATACCCATAGATACCGGGCATAAGCAGATCATTAATATGCAGCAGGAAGAGAGTTGCTGAGAGAACGGACCCCTGAGAAACACCGGCGTTAGTCGCCATAGGATTGGATGAGCAGCCGATTATCGACGACGACCCGGAGAGACCGTTCATTCAGAAAGGCCTTTACCCATTCAATCAGACCAGGGGATAAGCCGTACGCTGGAAACTTACCCAAAAGGTTAGTGTGCCAAACTCTCTCAAAGGCCTTCGAGACATCAAGGGAAACAACAAGTGTTTCCCCACTGTTCTCGAGTGCCTCGCCCCATACGTGTGTGGCATACGCTAGAAGGTCCTCTGACCGATTTCGGCGAAACCCATATTGCCGGTCACTAAGGAGGTCATTCTGTTCTAGGTATGCTAGCTATTAAGCGGGCATTCAATATACGCTAAATAGTCTTGCAGAGTATGGAGGTAATTGAGACTGGCCGATAATTGGCAAGCTCGGCACGGCTGCCTTTTTTTGGAACAGGCTGCACATTGGCCAGTTTCCAGGATTTTGGCACTATTCCAGTCCTAAATGTGGGGAGACAACTCAGATGCACAAGCTTTTAGAACTATAGCTGGTATACCATCTGGTCCACTAGCTTTATGCACGTCTAGACACCACAAGGTTTTAAGAACCTCCTTATTTGTTATACGAATCTCCGACATAGAGGTCCCGCAGTGAGGTAATTTTGGTGGAACGTTGTTGCCACTGTCCAGACGTGAATTGTAGGCAAGGAGAGGCGCAAACAAGTCCGCTTTCTCTTTAGCCGTATGCGCCCGTGTGCCATCCGGTTTTACCAGCGGAATCAGTGTAGGCCGATAGAAGTTTGTCTTGACCGCTTTGGCGAGACACCAAAAAGCTCTAGTGCCGGATGGTCTGCCAAAGAGTTTTGCGCCAATATGTTTAATGCGATCAAGACAGCTTTCCGTAATGCTTTTTTGTAGGACTTGGCGGTCTGGTTGAAAGTTCTCTTCTTGGAGCTAATATCCGGAGCTTTGCGGTTTCGAGCGTCAACCCAGGATAGGTAAGCTAAAAGCTTGCGTTTTTCACCTTGGTCCCATTCAGCGTTAAACTATGGGCGAGCTTTGCTACCGGTGGGAGCGTCAGAGAAGGGGATAAAATACTCCATAGCTTGACGAAACACATCCTTTATCGCAACCGCGCAGCTCGTCGGATCCGCAGAAGAGAAACAGACCTCCCGCCAAGGATAAGATGCAAAAAAGTGTCGCATCTCATCTCAATCAGCTGATTTATACCGCCATATTCGTCGAACACCTTGGGACTCGTAATCAGGATACAGATTTCACCAGACAGTGGTCAGATGTACCCAAAGGAGAAGTAACCTGTACTTCATATCTGTCTGGTTCGGTAGTCAGCAGAAAGTCCAAGCAATATGCTGTGTGACCGTTTACATCGGGTACCCTAGTCGCCACCTTTACCATCTGAGAAAGACCTAGCGTCAAAGCAAAATTCCACGCTTCTCTTCTAGCATGATCGTGTTTTTGGTATGGGAACAGCCAGTTTTGGTGACAAGCGTTAAAGTCCCCCAGAAAGACCAACTGTGCAGTAGGATACCGATTTAGGGCCACGTCAGCAGCCTCACTAAGGTGATCAAATAATCGTCTTGTCTCCTGGTCACCGCTGTGCGATCGATAGACACAGGGATCTTCAAGGTGACAGAGACGCTGGAAGCAGATGTCATTGCGGACGTACACACATACTCCGGCACGTGGATGGAATTTGTGCTCCAGGATAGTCAAGGTACGCCGCACTCAATGGACATCCAATTTGCGTCTCTGTTAAGAAATGTAGATGTGGCTTTTCAGTCTCATGATGGTGATGTACTGCGCTGAGATTAGAGTGCAATCCTCGAATATTAGTGAGGTGCACTTTTAGTGAGAGGACGTGCAACCGCTGTTTATCACTACTTTTCTTTTTAATGCACATATTAAGTGTTGAGAGTGAATAAGGATGGAGAATGGCAGTTGAACGAGGCGTTGCATTAGCAACCAAACGATACTATCAGAGTTACTGTGCCCATGGGAGCTTAATGTGCTGACTGCGGGGACGCCCGAACCCCCCCAGATATCGCTATCGGATCCTCTCGCCCGGTCGCTAACCGGCACGATGGGGCCATCCTGGGATTTTTCGCCAGTTGGCGGGGCAGCCTTTCATGAGTAGCTAATTAAGTAATTGGGCCCCCAACTGCCTGCGGTCGGCCAGCGGAACACCGTGCTTCGGATCCCGCTACCCTCCACGACCAAGCACCCGACACAGCAACAACTGACGCTTCGTACCCGTTTTACATACACAACGCTACTGTTCAGACCCATTCTCCATATGGCTTCACCAAGCATCATGCCGGAACAATGGCAAGACTGCATTGGTGGGTGGTAACCGAAAAGCCACCGACCGAAACCTACCACCGGAATTGGTGCTGCTCGTTTAGCACTACCCGGGGGCACGTGTAGAGTGTCAGATTTCAAGTATTTCCTACGGACGCGAGCAGCCTCGTGCCCCAAAAATATAAATATAATAAAAATAAAATTATATTATTTTTCATTAAAAGAGTTTTTTCCTTCTTCAACCATTACAGTAAAAAGATTCAATCTAACTCGAAATAGGCGTTATAGTATTCTTATTTATTTTGTTTGCTGCTAGTACAATTATTGTTAGCACAAGTACTGTCTATATCCGTTAAGAAAAAAATATTTAAATTTAAATCATTTGTCTTTTACATAAGCCTTTTTGGCATAACAATGGTACCAACTTTTAATACTATACATCGCTTTTCGCTGAGACCGTTATCAACCCGTAATGCGTGTTAGTACTTTTTATTTTCATACATTTGAAAGAACGTTAGTTGTTAGTATTAAAAAAAAAATATTATGGAGATAAGTAGTTTCTCCTTACGAAGTTTACAGAGCAAATGTACTAAAGTGACAGCTATCTTCTGAATTACAAGAAATATGCAGAATATTTCGATTCCAGTACGTAGATAAATAGAGTCACGTTTTTTTTGCTTTTATTGTATTTCGATTTCTTAATTAGAAAAAAAAGTTAAGCCCGGTTTTGTAAAAAAAAAAACTTGAAATGGCCCTACTGTAAAATGCCCTTTTGGTGTTTAAGTAGTATTGGCTTTCCAGTGACGATATATAATGCCATGATAAATAAAGAAAATATGTGACGATAGAATCGTTCTTTAGGAAAAAGCGTTAATTCTAAAATGTTCACGAACTTTGTTTCTGAAAAGAAACTTGTTGAAAGCTTTTTAATGTCAGGAGGTATTTAGTTTCAGAGTACAATCCACTTATAGCCGTAAGAGCGAAAGAGCCAAACACCGCCAACGATGAACGAGAAGCGAGAGGGATAGAAACTAGTTAGACCTTGCGATCGGCAAAAAGCGAGTTTATAGTTCTGATACTTTTGCCGCTGGGCTGTAAGTGAGTGCACTCAGATCCGCACTCTAGAGTAAAATGACCGCTGGTTGGTCTCTCTGGGTGAGTTTTGACCGCCAAGCGAGCATCGCTGAGCGAGGTTTGTTTGATAGCTTTTGTCGCTGCGACAAAATAGTGTAGGGAAGGTTCCCTCCGGCAGTATGAACAGCCAGCGATCAACTATTAATATATGTATCTCTTTTATTAACACGGGATCTATAACTATTGTTCATTTCTTGAGCGAGAAAATAGTCGATAGCTAATCGCTTCCTCGTCGGTGGTGGGACAAGTGCCTATAGGTGTTAGAAACTTTAGATTATCCGAAGAACGGAAAAAGGAATTATGAGTATCTCCTAGGTACTGAAATTTAGATTTGAAGTGTGCAGAGTATTCTATCATATCTACGCCGACGGATTTAAGCTGAGTACGAAAAGAAGATACATGGTCATATTTACAAGACCATAAATGTATCTGATGCAGTTATTGAGGAGACGATCCAATGTGTTAAGATGCTGTTGAGATAAGCCTGTGCAACACACATCTGCATAGTCTATTATCGGCAGAATAAGAGATTGATCAAGCAAAACTTTTATAGCAGTAGGAAGAAATTTTTTCAGGCGATAAAGAGATCGCAATGTTGCAGTAATTTAGCGGCTTACCTCCCGGATCTACTTGTTCCATATCAAAGACAAGCTATCAACGAACAGGCCGAGATTCTTAACATGTGGAGAGTATGGGATAATATTATTGTTGTACGAAATAAACGGCAAAGTCGAGATATCTAATTTGGATAAGTATGTAGAGCTACCTAAAATGATCGCTTATCTTTTAGAAGGATTCACAGTTCAGTTAATTCCAAACATAGTGGACCATGTTGTTGATACCACATTATGTTGAACGGTAAATCTTTTAACAAGTCTTGCAAATCATTTTCGCGAAAATTCAAATAATTCTCACCATTCAAGGTCTCCTTAGGTCGAATTCCTTTTCTTCGTGTTTTTACGCACATAATACGTTTATAATACGTTTGACTTTCCTGCGTTATATGATTGGAAATTTCGCCACAGCGATAAACTTTTAAACAGTCCCAATGTCTAGAGCGGTAGGGCTACCGTGCCGGTGCGTGCGCGAGTTCTAATCCTGCAATGTTGACCACATTGTGTGGTCTAAACTAGTTAATAAGGCCCAACAGCTGGACAATAATAAATTATTATAGTCTAATAAAAGTTTGTGGAGTTGCGTACCATTTTTTTCAATATATATGTGTAATTAAAGAATTAATTGGATAATTGGAAAAGATTTAATCATACGAGTAAATATTAGAGTACTTTATTCAAATTTCTTATTATCTTATTTATTTTTTAAATTTAAAATATATCGGAGGATAAAAATAAACAAATCAAATGATATGTAATTGTATAAATAAACAAAATTAATCGTTCGATTATCATATGCATAGACACTTCCATCTTTTTATTACTCTGCCCAATAAATAACGGGCTTTATTTATAAAGCCCGATCAATTTAATTATTTCAATCGTTTTTATCACTTTACCCACTTATATTAGGCATTAATAATAGTGCCCCGGCATTATAAATAGTGCCATGATTAGTAACTTATACAATATAGATAAGGGTGACAAACGAGCACACAGTCCACCTGATGGTAAGTGGTTGCTGTGACCCATAGACATCCACATCTGTTATCAATTACGAATCAAAATGCAGATGCGTTGTCACCTGTGAGGACTAAGATGCAATGCCTCATTTCCAATAAAAAGGGTGTCCGGTTCTCTACGCTCACCATATGAAACACAGCAGCGTTAAGCTGCTATTTTACCCTGGTATTCTGTGAGAGCATGGCCCTTCCCCGGTTGAGCCGACCCATTCGTGCTACAATTATACTACAAATATAGGTGCAGCATGGCTCTACCACGTATTACAAAGCGACATTTTTGCATAATTAAAAATGTATATTTTTATATATAATTTGATTTCTCGGTAAGGGCTATAAGGTATAAAATTTCGTACTTATATAATGGTTTACTTTATAAGATTTTTTTAGATACGTGTTATTGCTGAGCAATTTACTTTTTTGTAAGTTAGTCAATATTATTAATTTATATTATTACCAACATACATATTTTCTCTTCCTTTTATTTGCTTGCACATGTTGATGCATAAATTTTTTTACAACATTACTTTTATTTTTGAAAATTTACTTACATTAATAGAACTGTCCGCTTTTGTGCTTTTCAGTTGTCTCAAAGTTATGTGCTTTCAGAGGAAGAATGGGAGGTTCCATTTGACTCAATTTCGGACTTGGTATATCTTGGATCTGGAGCTCAAGGAGTTGTATTTGGAGGTAACCTTCGCGGTGAGATGGTTGCTGTGAAAAAATTGCGTGACAAGACTGAGACGGATATCAAACATTTGAGAAAATTGAATCATGAGAATATAGGTGTGTAAGAAATAATGCATACTACATCATGATGTATAGGATAGTAATATACTTTTTATCAGTTTGCTTAATATTTATAAGCCTAGCAGAATTACCATGTAGTGGTAGTGTAAGAATATCCACTACCCCATAACATCCCGTGGGTGTCGTAAGATACGACAGAGGAAATCCAATCAGGAGATGGGTAGCAGCGTCTTCCTAATAACGACAAAAAAAAATCAAATATCTCCAACTATGAGGCGGTGGAGGTCTATGTTAAGCAGTGGACTTTAATAGGCTGTAACAATAGCAGAATTACAATTATCATAAGTTTCCTTTGTTTGTTTGAATTATCGTAGTGAGAATGTTTACACATATTTAGGTATAGGTATTTTCTTCTATATTACCTTGAGATATTTTTTTTAATTATCTATTAAGATTTTTTAGCAAGAGTTAAGTAAAAAAGCAAGAAAAATAAGGACATAGTTTTCTTAGTTGTGTTAGTACTTCTAAATTAAATTTATTTTCAATATTTATGGTTAAATCTGTAACTAAATTAATTCTATTTAGTGACAGATTTATATATTATGTCACTACTGGTTTTGTTTCCATTTTGCAATGCCATATAGCTTGAAAAGCCGTCAACTGATGGGGGAGAATGATTTTCGAGTAACATCTTGTACCGGTATGCAATGTGTAGGACTATGCCCAGGAGAGTGGCCCTATATGGACTGTAGTTTATATTTAATTTTATGTGAAGATACATTATGAAAAATAAAATAAAAAACTTCAAAATATTGTTAGGACATTAAGTTAAAATACCTTACAATGGCTGCATGTGATTTGAATTAGTTTTTATTTTTTGAAGTACCGTGAAACCTGGCAACTTTGCCGTTTTTGGAAGGACTTAAAAGTTAAACACCAATTTTCCAATAAAAAATATAGGCTCACAGGCCTGGGCGTCAATGTTAATTGTGACATTATATTCTTCATAGATTTAGTATTTATTAATGATTTAAAGAAATACTAACATTAAATAGACAAAATACACAATAATAGAAAATAGCAAAGTTAACCTATCTTTGTGGCAACTTTGCCATCAGGGGTTATAATGAAAATAATAGAATTTGACTTCAAAGTTGAAGTAAGTTTACCTCATAATATAATACACAACACCCAGAGTTATGATTTGCTTCTTTAATTGTGTTGCAAATAGTAAAGTTCACGCTTGTGGCAAAGTTGCCCTTCCATTTTTCAATTTTTCATACAAGCTTGAAAATGTGTCGGGGTTGTCAAAATCCTTGATACAATAATTTTTAACAAGTATTGGTCTTTTCATTATTGTAATCAATCTAAATATTGTTTTCCCAAAATAGCAAAACATTAATAATCATTAAAAATGACTATTAATGTTTCGTTTAATTTCAATGCAATTAATTTCAAAAAAAAAAATAATTTCAATAGTCATAATATTATTAATGCCCGACAACGCAGTAAAAATAAAAAAAAAACGTGTGTGTGTAATTATGTACGCCCGTAGGAAGTTATACTTCTTAAGCGTAACAAAACAAAAATAACTAAAAATTATTTAAAAACCTGGTGACAATTAATTGATGACTCCGTGGCGCAGTGGCTTAGCAATGAGTTGCAGCGCTTAGGGCCGCGGGTTCTATTCCCGCACGGAACAAGATAGTATTTGTATGGCCTAAAAATAATTGTTCTGGGTCTGGGTGTTTGTACTTCTGAAATTTATGTATGTAAATTGCTGCCGCGGTACAGGAGAAAATCCTAATGTGTAGGTAACGTAAAAAATAAACCTAGCAAGCTAACAGCATAGCAAAGTGGCGAAGCAATCAGCTTTGTAGCGGTTTCTAACGGTTGCCGTTGAGCAATCAGTTTCGAAATAGGAGGTTCAGATGCCTGGGTGATCAATAATCGATTGCTGAAAACAGAATTTGAAAATTCGAAACCGAGATGATCGTGGGACAGACGGACAGACATCGTGAAATCAATATGTGACTTCGCAAGCTTCGCCACTTAATAATTGTAATTTGTTTTATCAAGATTTTTAATCTTTATATTTACTCTTAATATTGTTTCACAAAATAAACATACATCAATCACGTCTTTTGATGGGTAAATTTAACCTCTTTTGAAGATATAAAAACTATATTAACGATTTTATGGTTATGCTGAGACTGCAAAACTGCAATACAATCTCCACACTGTTTCACAAAACTGTTCCTCTCTCTCCACATTTAATATATTGCAAAACATTTTTTTTCTTATGTGCGTGAAAAGTAAATCACTTAATGCTAACGTACTTTGAATAATATATATGTTGAATAATTTTAGAGCCTATACTTTCTTTTGAGTATGTTTTTTTAACTTTTTTCTTTGTCTATTATTCTTCTCTTTAATTTAGATATTGTTTTTAATCTTTCCCTCTTCCTTGGTGTCACTTCAACACCACTGTTTGATGTAGTATAAGCAAATAAGCTAGGTACAGGCTCAATATCTCTGCACTGATATGTAACTTATGTAATGCAAGGGCAATTTAACATATTATCTAGTTTAACAATAATATATACAACAATAATTCAACTAACTCAACTTTATGTTTCAAAGCTACTGGTATTCTTCTCGGCTTAAGAAACTTTGACTGAGCATCATTATTTATTTTTAAAGTTACTTTATTATTAAAAGTCCTTAGTTCATCTGTAAACAACTGTGAATATGTTTCCTTCAGTTGTTTTACTAAGTCGTTATGCTGTAAATTGTTACAGACCGATATACAGTTTCATATTAAACGACGTAATTAAATCACGGTCCAACAGAACTGGTTGTTGTTGTCATCTGTTTTTATAATATAAAAACGAATAATTTCAGTACTTGCAGTTACAGTACTATAAAAACCGTATGAAATACCTTTAACTAAATCGTTATCATCCACCTCCAAATAATTGTTGCTCTTATAACAACTCATACAAACACGTTTCAAATACTCTTTTTTATTACAGTTTTGACAAAAATAATTCGCATATCGATATTTATCTTTAGTATGGTTCTCATGTCCACAAACCAAGCAAAATATGTTTTTTTTTCTGTAATTTATTGAACAGAATTTTCTAGGGCTCGTAAAGCGAAAACGTGTTGCGCTAGTAGTGTAGTTGTACCACTTCTAGACCACCTGAGTCAGACGTGGTTCAACGACGTTCGTCGACGCTCGATCCTAAAAAAAAAAAAGAAAAAAAAAAGGTTTTGGCATGCTCTGATCACGAATCCGCGGTCCATTTTTGTGTAGAATGCACGGTTCCGGAGATGTGTAGATCAATTAGCTAATATCTAATTGATATCCGGTAAGGGCCTCCACCGTCATTAGCGTCCCATTGTTGTTCCTATTTCTATTGTTCTATTGTTCCTTAATCACCTTCATTGCAGCGTGTGCGTCGACTATATCAGTGCTATTGTTTATTATAATTCTTTGTTTATACAACGCTAATCTGAATCATCAATAAAACACATTACATAATTTTGTTACAATTTTTATTTATAAAATACAAAATCTTATTAATTATTATCTATAAAATAGGAGCGAAACATCTCATCCACTAAAATATCGTTGTACAATGTGTTCCTTGTAAATATACTCGTAAAACTATGTATTGAACATCCTTGAAACTTATATAGTAAATACATTAAGCAATATTCGCCACAAACTGAAGTCCACTCATTCTGAATCCTATCAACATTCCAGTTCCATCTTTTACAATTCCTTTTTAAAAACTCTAGATGATATCGTACAGGTGATCGTCCATATGAATCAAAATATTGACCGACGTCATTCGTATCGATATATAAAGCTACCCAATGTGACCCTGGTTTATCATCTGTATCCAAATTACATATTATATACGTTGGTACGTGGGTATACATAGGCAGTCTATTAGCTGCATAAACATTATTTTCTAGACTGGGGTGAATCTTTTTCAGATGTTGTTGTACATCTAGTGTATCCATGATATTACTGCTATTAGTAGATTATTACAGTACCTAGCTACTCAATGAATAACATAGGAATGGTCAATTATAGTGATTTCTACATATTAAATTGCATTTTTGTGATATACAAATCGTACTTGAGTCATTGATCACCAAACAAAACACAATACGAAGAAATGTTGAGATAGGCAACGGAAATGTGAGATAAACTGATATGTTTCTAAATATTAAATTGCATTTTTGTGTTATACAAATCGTACTTGAGTCATTGATCACCAAACAAAACACAATACGAAGAAATGTTGAGATAGGCAACGGAAATGTGAGATAAAGTGGTTGACGCATAAAGTAATTATCAACTCATTACGGAAATACTTTAGATTAGAATTTTTACGTACTGGTGGTATATAAGACCAACAAACGCAGTCATCGAGTTAGTGTACGGTCGTTTGGCTACAGTGGATCTATCAATAGTACATTTGTGTTACTTCAATACACCAAGAATATTGCTTAATGTATTTGCTATATAAGTTTCAAGGATGTTCAATACATAGTTTTACGAGTATATTTACAAGGAACACATTGTACAACGATATTTTAGTGGATGAGATGTTTCGCTCCTATTTTATAGATAATAAGTAATAAGATTTTGTATTTTATAAATAAAAATTGTAGCAAAATTATGTAATGTGTTTTATTGATGATTCAGATTAGCGTTGTATAATTAGGAACAAAGAAGTATAATACAATAGCACTGATATAGTCGACGCACACGCTGCAATGAAGGTGATTAATGAACAATAGAACAATAGAAATAGGAACAACAATGGGACGCTAATGACGGTGGAGGCCCTTACCGGATATCAATTAGATATTAGCTAATTGATCTACACATCTCCGGAACCGTGCATTCTACACAAAAATGCACCGCGGATTCGTGATCAGAGCATGCCAAAACTTTTTTTTTTTTTTTTTTTTTTTTTTTTTTTTTTTTTTTTTTTTTTTTTTTTTAGGATCGT